AAGCTACAGCTAGCATAAATTCACATTTTAGTGAATAGGGATATTTTGCATATGTTATTTCCATTATTCTTCACCTTTTTTCCCCAGGACAGGTGACTTTAAAATTTACACAAATTATAGGCATAGGTAAGATGGGCTGTGAGGAGTGAGCAGTGCCTGTGGTGCTAACAATACGACCACCTCTGCCTTACCCAGGAGAAAACCTTGAAGTACATAAAAATAATACAAGTGATTTGTTAAAAGGGATGATCATGAATCCACTCTAGTTTTGTCTCCCTAATTTACCACTAATAGTACCAAGGCTATTATTTGCCACAAACCTGTGACTGGTGTGTGGTATTGTAATAACAAAGTTAAGAACTCTGCATTGTCTTGTATGCTTTTCATAACTGTGATTTAATTACTATGGCTAGGGTACATAAGGGTGTAACAATCATCACTGGAGCAGCAAGGGGTCCAGAATACTGGCATGGTCCTAGGTCACTTTAGAAAATGCCCTGTGCCCCATACACCAGGTTCTTGAGGTCTTTTTTTTAGCCTCCTTCAAGTCACGCATCGTGCATTCCACCCTGCAGACAATGAATGAGGCCGTTTCCCCAGCACCTGTACCTTCAAAATCAATGAATGGGGAGATGACAGTGGTCTGAGGAAACAGAGGCAGAGGAGTGGCCCTGTCCTCCAACTCTGAGAACTCTGGAGGGTGAAGGTGGGCACTGCAAGGAGGCAGAGGAACTGGTCACTACGCAACCCGGCCTCTTGGTTGGAGGGCGTGCTTCCTTCTCAGTCACTCCCTCCATGTGGAGGGAGCTCAATGAATGTATCTCTTGGCTTCTCTCTCTCTCTCTCTTTACTCTCTCTGCCCCAGGGGAGAAGGGGAGCAGACTGTTGGTGCTTTGAGGAGAATGCATGGGGCATGTTCGCTCAGCTCCTACTGTGGTTTTTTTCCTCTGTGAAAGGTCAGACTGACTGCAAAGAACCCAAGTTTCCTCCTGCCCACCTGTGACACCCATCACACTTGGGCAGACCCTCCATCATCACCTCCATGTACAGAATTTGCCAGTCCACACTGGCTGTGAGGGTGTGGTTAAGGCCACCTGACTTGGGTGGCAGAAAGGGGGTTGGTCATATCTACCAACTTAGCCTTTATTAGCAACGAAGTTTGCATTTCTGTCTCCCATCTGCCACCATTTATCTTTTTTCTTTCTTACTTTTCTTAGAATGTGGAGGGAAAGAAGGAGGATCTGTATTGGACACTCCTTTGATAGAGACACAGAGGGCTAAGGATTCTTTCCCACTCATCCACCAGCTAGGTCTGTCTTTCTTTTTTCACACTTGGTTCTAAACTCACCTATTCTAGGCATTCTCTGGACTAGTGGCAAATTTCTGCACCATGGTTTCATACAGTGATAGGATATTAATGCTGAAAGAGATCTTAGAGATAGCCTGGTCTGACTCCTCAACAGAAAGCCTTGCCACTTGGGTAGAGTAGAATAAATAGTGGGCTTCCACTTAGGAGACCTGGTGCGATTTTGGGAGGTGTTTTAATCTCTCTGAGCATCACTTTCCTCACTGGCAAATGGAGCTAAATCTTTTCTGCCTCTCAGTGTTGTGGTGAGAGTTGGATGAAAGGTTGCCTTATCAATTTTAAAGCCTATGCAAATAGGATGGATTGTTCATAGTGCTGGGGCTGGGTAGAGAATCCAGGTTTTCCTGGGATGGGTGACTACAGGGGCACCGCACTTGGAGGAGCTTGGGGGCCTTTCCAGGACCCACGGGAGTGGGGTTAGATAGCAGAAAGTCCTAAAGAAAGTACTTTGGACTGTGGGTTTTTGACCTGCCTAAGTTTGGCGTCAGGGGTGAGGCTCCTGGAGGCCTGTCCACACAGGGACCTCTCTGAGCCGTTGCTAGATGGGTGCCTGAAGGCGCAGGCAAAGGATGGGGCCCAGGCCAGTGTGCGGAAGGCTGGGAGAAGAAGGTCAGGGAAGGCGGTGTCCCCTGAGGCAGCAGCAATACTTGTTCTTAGACCCCATAACCATGGATGCTGTCTTCGGGGACTCAGGGAAGTCCTGAGGGAAGAAAATCTCACCCTCAGGTAGAAATTAGGGTAAGTTTGAAGGCACAGCATCTCGCCTACTCCCTTGTTACATGACTCAGTCCCACCCTACCCCAAGCTGGTAGGAACTGATGTGAAACCCAATATTCTCCAAGATCAATCCCTGTACCCCAGCCAACCATCCCTCCATATTGCCCCACTTCTCCACCATCTCCTGTGACCTTGAAGTTTTTATAAAGACCTGGAAATGATGGTCTCTGGATCACTATGGAGATGGGAGACAGCAGCAAAACCATTGCTCCTTCCTGGGCCTCACTTTCCCTTTTTCTTAAAGGGAAGCAGTACTCTTTTATAATTCTTGGTGGTTGGGTTCACCAGTATCACCACCAGAAAGTTTTTTTATTAAGACTGAATTGTGCGTGGCACTATGCTAGGCATGGTGGCTTCCACGCCCCAAGACCATGTGCTCATGTGCACGCGCGTGTGTGTGTGTGTGTGTACGTGTACACATGCAGGTTTTGCTAACATCAAACTTGTTACATGAACACCTGGGTTTTACACTAATGGTAAATGAGAGGATGATTATTCACTTTGTAAAAGAATCCATGGTTGGAGTCCCCGAGTGTGTTTATAATGTGATTCAATTTATACCATATTCAGCCTCCATCTATTGTGTGCTGGGAGGTCCTGTCTGCACAAACAAGAGCATGTGTAGGCAGTGTTTTGAGCATGATGGAAGGAAAGGATTAGAGATACTAAATTGCTAATAACAATGAGTAATACCAGTGCCTGGGAACAAAGGTGACTGTGGATCACAATTTCTGTAGCCTCAAGAACACCGCGATGCTACAGGGGGCTGGCTGCAGAAGAAGTCCAGATCCCTGCTCACAGGTCTGACACGGGTCCAAGGGGGACCCCAGTGGGGACTTGGGAGAGTCAAGGGGCCTGGGAGCCAGGGGCTCTTGCTTTGGTATCAGATGTAACAAAGGAGAGATGAAGAGAATGTGATTATTTGGTTTCTCTTTCTTGAAATCATTAGGTTTGGGGGAAATTCTTAAGAAGGATGGGGTTCCCAGGACCACACAGGGCTCTGGCCATTGCTTAAATATCCTTAAATATCTTTTTGCTGCACCCCAATCCCCTCACCTTCCCTGAAGCCCTTTTCCCAGTATCACGAACTAGGACCCAACTCTGAGCTTTTCTTGTCCATTTCTTTGTCTCTTGCAGGATTTTGTTGAGCTACACGACTGATGAGAATCCTGTTTTGAGGCTTCCTAGCAGGTGAACGACAGCTTCTCTCTCAAGCATCTTTTCCAGTCTCATAGTTTTCATTATCACTAGAGGAAGACAATGAATTCCAGGTTATGAAGCTAGATTTGATTCTTCCCTTTTATTCTTCAAGGCAATGGAAAAGCATCAGGAGTTTGTAATCAGAAGAGTGATGTGAATGGACCTGGGTTTTATAAAGGTCATTCTGATGCGGGGAGGGGTGGACTCTGTATGTGGGCAGCACTGTTGGAGGACCACTGCGTGGATAAGATTTTGAGGGTGAGAAGATGGTATATGGTAGGATGTGAGGCCCGGTGAAAACATACCTGGTAGGCAACTGGGATGAGGCAGGGATGGGCCCTCAGAGGCTTAAAGACGACCCCTGACCCTTTGTGGCTTCAGAAAAAGCATGTCTATTTTCTTGGCCTGGCTCCAAAGGTAACCCGCGTCTTCTTCATTCTTGGGCACACCTCTGACCCCTCATCTTCCAAGCTATGCCCAAGCAAGGGTTGGATTTCCCACCATTAGATCATGACTCCCGTTGATATGCTGAGACCTGGAGTAGAAACTGCCTGAGCCCATCCTGGAGTTTCCTGGGGTCCCTGATTTTCCACCTATGATACAGCTTCTGTCTGGCATCAAGGTTCCTGAGGAGGGCTGAATAGCTGGCTCAGACCTGGGGACACCTACCATTCCCCACATCGGGCATCTTCGAAGGAGTCTTTGGTGTCGCCGACCAAGTCAGCAGGGCCTAGGAGGGAGCCTGGAGCTTTATTAACTAATCTCTGGTACTTGAGTCATTTATTATGTTTAAGCTGGTGCCATCCAGTCTCTCAGCAGTGCCTGCGTGCACTGGGAAATAAATTAAAGGCTGTCCACAGATACTTGGATCATCTGTGTGATTGCTGGGCTGGCGGGATGGACGTTTAAGACTCTCTCTTCTTGCAAATTGGAAATTAGGAATTAATAAGACAGCAGGCCAAAGAGCTGCGGTGCTGGTGGCGGCGACTTGGCTGCAGAGCCAGGACTGGGGGAGGGAAGACACTGCCCAGGAGGTCCCAGAGGGGCGGGGCGGAACCCAGCCAAGGTTTCCCTGTGGTGAGCACTCCAAAGGGCCTTATGGGGCTGGGTGAGTGGGCTCTTCCTTGGCCTGTGGTGTAGGTGGCAGGGATTTTTCTGCCTCCTAAAAAAGGTAAAATGGGTAATGGAGAGCGCCCTGGCCTGGGATCTGGAAGACCTGCTGTGGCCCCAGCCTGCTGTGTGACACTGGGTGGGCCCCTTTTTCTTTCTGGGCTTCAGTTTTTCATCTGGAAGATGAAGAGGTTGGACTCATGGCTGACGTATGCCTTAGGCACACAGAAATATTTTAATTCCTTTTCAAGGCAAAAGAAAAATAACAAACTTTTAGGTTGAAGAAAATATTTTAATATAGAGTATAAATACATTCATCTTTATACCAAAGCAGTCATCAAAGGTAATGTTTAATATGAACATTTTTGTATGTGTAGGAAGGGGCTGCACCTGTGGGATTAGCAGGCCCCAAAGGCCCTCCCTGCCCTAAGAGCAGCTGACTTCCGGGACCATTCGTTCGCTCTTGGCTCTAGGTCTATCTTGGTCCTAGCCCATGAGCTCCTTGCGAGTAGGGACTGTGTCTTGCAATGCCTGTCTGTCCCTGCTTCTGCAGGAGGAGCTCCAGTCAGTGGAGGGTGGTGGAACCAGGAGTGGACACCAGACTTTGGGCACTTCCACTGGCCCATGCTGCTGCTTCCTCGCTGACATCCAAGGAGAGACATGTGAGTCAGTGTTTTCTCTCACCAGTCCCTCCATTCAGGCCTTGTCCATGGGTCCTGTGCCTCAGCCCTTGAACCCAACCCCACCCCTGTTTACTGCTTTTCTGTCCCCTGAACTATTTTGGAAGGGTCTAGAAGGGCACTGGGCAGGGATCCACAATGCCGCCACATGACAGTGCTGCCTTTAGCAGTTGGCATTGGGGAGCCAGCAGGCACCCAGCCTATGGGGTGCAAAGCAGACTGAACCCCCTCAAGAGCCCTGTCCTGTAGTTGGGTTGCCTCACCACCAGGTGGCAGGCTTGCTCTACACAAATGCCTTGGAGGGAGCATTTGCCTGGCAATGGCTAGAGGTGTGGAAGAATGCCAAATCAGCCCGCCAACCAGGGATTGTTGAGGCTGGTATGGGTGGCTTCACAAGCAGGGCTGGGCCTGTCAGCTTGGCATTGAGCTCCTGCTGAGATCTCAGCTCCAAGGGGCACATCCATGTGCCTCCAGGCTGATGTCAGGTATCTGATCAGAGATCGCCCCCCCGCAATAGGATCCTCGTATGTGTGAGGGAGGGTAGGTAGGTGGGTGGGACAGAAATGAACCTAATACTTTCAGAGGCATTCCAAGGACTCTGGTCCTGGAGAGAAAGGTAACTCCCCACCCCACCACTTAGACTGTTCCTGCCACGGGCAGGGCAGCCTCAGGAGTCCTCCACCTCTGCCCACTTGTCTGACCGGCCCAGACAGCAGTTCTGTTCTTTCAGCACAGTGGGCTCACCCCGAGGGGCCCCAGGAGCCAGGAGTCAGGCCACACCTGAACCCAGGTCTTTTCTTCACCAGGAGGGGAACTGCAGAAGATCCAAGTCCTGGTGGACCAAGCACTGGGGAAAGAAGATAGTAAGAGACACAAAGAAAAGATGGTCCTGGCAGCCGGAGAAAGTGAAGCCAGCAGAGTCCTGGCCTCAGCCTACTAGAGAAAGGGGGTGAGGTGCTCCAGGTCCCGGGAAGGAGGTAGGAGCGCCCGGCTTTGCCCGGCGTCGCTTTGTCTCGGGCAGGACAGGTTCTTCCGGGGCATGGTGGCTCCTGGGATTCCTGAGTGGCATCCAGAATGCTCTGTTCCATCACCAGCCAGGCCTGAGCCCCACTCAGCTTGTGACTCATACCCTTCTTTCATTGGCATCTTCATGCCCAGCAGTCAAGCCAAAAGATTTCTCCTCTGTCTCCTCACCTTGCCCTTGCTCCGCCCTTGCTTAGGTTGGTTCCTGGCCTTACCCCCAGCACTTAACTCCTCAATCCTGGCCTCTGCTCCTATTTCAGAAACAAGGGGACTTGTATGTAACATGACCTCTGTTCCCCGTCCCGGTAGCATCAGATGTGAGAGCTCATCTGGATGGGGGCTCCACGTCAGCACTTCCCTGGACCTTTCCTCTGTGGGTGCCATGTCTCTTTGGGGCAGGAGGACTCAGCCAGGCCTAGATGAGGAATTACAGTGGGGCACAGATACTCAGGTGTCCCTAGTTCTGTCACCCTTACAGTTCACAGGGACAAGTTGGAGCCAGAGCCTGCGAGAGACACAGAGGGAGGAGAACAGAGGGTAAAGGGGGGCCTGGAGGGAGGTGGGTGATGACAACAGAGAAAAGATATTGGGGGATGCAGGGGAAGACAGGAAGAGAGAGAGAGAGAGAGAGAGAGAGAGAGAGAGAGAGAGAGAGAGGAAAAAGGGACAGAATAAAAGAACAAAAACAAAAACAGAGGAAAGGATGGAAATGAGGTAAATTACAGACTGAGGAAGGAAGAAAACAAAAAGAAAACACCCAAAATACAGAAAAAGATAAATACACAGACACACACAAACATGGCTGTGAGCTGCTTTGTGCTCGTGGACGCGCACCCACATTCATGCCAGCTGCTTCCGCTCACTCTCCTGGCCTTTGCTGCTCCGCCCTCTGTGTCTCCATCCCCTTGACCCGCTTTTGGGCTCCTGAGAAGGGTGTGGTCTTCAGGTTATGCCTCACCCATGCCCTGCACCGTACCCACCCCTAAAGACTGCTCCACTTAGGCTAGGATGCACAGAGGGACCCCAAGTCTCCATGCCTCACACTTGTCACCCCAAATTGGATCTAAACGCCTCTCTCCCTTTCTCTCTCCCTCTTAGTTTCCTTAGTAACTGACAGTTCCCCAGTGAATTCCGACCCCGGGTGACAGACCGCTGTCACTGCCACAGAAGCTCTCAGTCTCTCTCCCTTAACTGCCCCCTACCCGCCCCACATAGAGTCATAGACTTGGGGTGGGTGATATGAGGATGCCTGGGTAGGCTCAGGGGTAATTAAAACATGTACCATTTATTCCATAACAGGGAGCAGAACTTTAATTACTCACTCGGAGGGTGAGGGCGTGAGTGAGGAGGTGGCTATTGGGGGGATCAGGGAGGGGGATTGGGAACGTGTCTGTTTTTCTTCTTTCTTTTCCATTTTCCCAAGTTGGATTGGAGAGGTGGGAGGTGGGTCTGGGGAAGTGAGGGGTGCTAAGTGTGTGTGTGTGAGAAGCAGAGGGTGAAACCTGATTGTGTTCATTAAGGCAACACAAAACTGGGAGCCGTAATAATAATTAAATTAATTATAAAAGCAATTTGCTTTTGAAAATTTGATTTGACAGCTTACTAGTGGCTGCACTGATCTAGCAGCTCTGGCTTAAAAATAGTCAGAACAAAAAACCAAATGGAAGAACCATCAGCTAATTTTAATTAGATGCCAGGATTGGTAAACAAAATTCCGAACCTCCCTTTCATTGTGGCTGACTTCGACTTAAGGAGATGTCGGGATTGATTTTGGGAAAGGCAGGAGAAAGGAAGGTACATTTTGGAAAGAAGATGAAGGCTCTGGGGGGTCCCAGCAAAAGCAGCTTCCCTGGGGGCTTGTCTCCTCATTCCCACCTGCCTGGGGACTGTCTGTTCAAAGGCATTTCACTATCTCCTCATGACTAAGAAGGTGACTTGCTGTGTGACCTTGGCCAAAGGCAGAAATGGCTCTGCTGTGTGACCGCATGTATGACTCTGTGTGTGTGTGTGTGTGTGTGATGGAGGGGACATGGCACTGACAACATTCAGGGAGCCAGGAAACGGCCAAGAAGGAGGAAGTGACATGACTAGAATGTTGACCATGCTCTCTCCTGCCTGGGCTCTAGAATGCCTAAAGGTCCTGGGAAACTGACACGTGCATTGTCTGGACGTTTTGATGAAGATGGAAGGAGGGCTGGCTTTTGGCAGGAGGAGGCTGCTGCGTCCTGTAGACCTAAGGTCACTGAGGGGGATATCATTCCTCTTCCTATGGCTTGGAAAGCCTCTCCACTTCTTACCTTGGGTAGGGACTTGATTCCTGCCCCCTCCACCCCCCAGCGGGGTCACCTTGCCCAGAACAGTGCCCAGGATATAATAGCATCCAGTAAACATCTGTTGACAAGAACAAAGGACCAATCTTGACTTTTCTAACTACCTTTTCTAGCAAACAATTGACTACCCACCTTCCTCTGTCCCTCTCTCCTAAACACAATGTTGCCACTCCTCACGCATTCCCCTCTGGTCCTCTGCAGGCTGAGGTCCTCTCACTGCTCTTCTGAAATCATTCTCTCAAGGGTCACCAAGATTGTCCTCCCCTTCCTCATCCCCCTTGTTTCCTGCAGCACAGGTGCTCTGACCACCCCAGGGTGCTGCCTGCAGGGCCCACCCCACATCCTGACTGCCCTCGGGGTGCAGGTCATCTTTATGTGGGTCACTTTCAGGATGACATCCCTTGCTTCGTTCCAGAAGTTCTTACTGAAGCATAAAGGACTCAGGCTTCCAGCGCTGTTGGTAGAGCTGGGGGAGGGAATTTGGGTCCTGCCACATGCAGCTTAGAGTTTAGTCCACAGGAAGGTCTCATATCCCCGACCATGCATTTTCCCTGCTGCTCTGGTCCCATTTTTCTAACTACCCAACAGGCATTTCCACTTGAAAATCCCTCTGTTATTTCAGAACCAGTGTTTGAAGCAAGATTTCCTACCTTCTCCTGCCCCCATCTCTCTCTCTCTCTCTCTCTCCTCCCCCTCCACCACCACCTCCTCTTCCTCCTCACAACACAACACACACACACGTACACACACAGATACTTCTCCCAGCAGCTCTGTTTCTACGAGGCTCGCCACACCTTCCCCACCACCCAGGCTTGCCCCAAGCCTTGGTGTCATCTTCTATTGCTCACTCTTCTTGTCTTCCAGGGTATAATCACTCAGCGAGTTCTATGGCTTTTTCCTTTCAAATGCCCCTCCACTCCATTCTCTGAGGTACTCCCCTACTTCTCTCTCCTCCCAGTGCTGACCTGCCCTTTTCCAGCCTGAGCATTGTCTTTGACCTCTAGTTGTCCTTGACCTCTATGCCCTCTCCTCACCACCCTTCAGGCATCCTAACCCCTTCCTGTGGAGCCCACATGGGAGCTCTCCTCGGTTTTCCTGTGGTGATCTCACACGGTATTAGTTGTGTGAGTGCCCAGACGCCCGTCACTGAGCCCCTTGCTAAGCCCCCTGTGCTGAGCCTGATGTGGGGCTGTATTTGAGAATGTGCAGAGGGAGGAGGTGGGCACCTCCACAGTAATAAGTGAGGCTGGACACAGAAGCACCCCGAGAAGCCAAGAGCCCAGAGGCCGAAGAAAAGCAGTCGAAAAGGATTTAAAATCACAGGTGTAGGGAGAACCAAGGAGATGGAGTATGCTGGAAAGGGTGGCATCCCCGGGAGAGAGGCTTCTGGACTGGGGGTGAGTGATGAGCAGGGGCCTCCAGTTGATGATGAGGAGATTTGGGGTAAAAAAGCAGGAAGGGAATGAATGGGAAGACAGGGAATGAGGGAAAAATTGGACTTGTGGTTGCCAAGAATCTTTGACATTGAGAAGGTGGGGCTGTGCTGGTATCAGAGGAGGAGAGGAAGGCTTGAGGAATCCTAGAGGCTGACTCTGTGGGGCAGACCTTACTGCATCTCCGCAGCCGCCACCTGGAGTGTCCTGGCCCCAGCCAGGCAGCATGTGTGTGTGTGTGTGTGTGTGTGTATGTGTGTGTGTGTGAGTGAATGTATATGTGAGGTGCGTGTGTGTGAGTGTGAGTGTGTGTGTATGTGAGGTGCGTGTGTGTGAGTGTGAGTGTGTGTGTATGTGAGGTGCGTGTGTGTGAGTGTGAGTGTGAGTGTGTGCGTGTGTGTGTGTGTGTGTGTGTAGTGGGCGGGGTGAGAAGGTGAGGGGGGGAGCCAGGCAGCTCCGACCTCACCGATTACAAGCTGTATGACCTCAGACAACTAATCTCTCTGAGACTGAGTTGCATCATTGTTATGAGGATCAAAAGAAAATATGTGTGAAGTGCCTAGCTGAGTTCTTAGAGTGCAGTCTGTGTTTAAGGGATGTTATGTTATCACTGTTATTCAACTCAATCTCTTCCTGACTTCTAAATTTTTACTCCTAGTATTAACCTTGTTAAACATTGGAGTGTGGCCTAGGGGAGCTGGAGAGACTTTACAAATGAAACGGCCCAACATTCTCACTTCATGGATGGGGCCACAACACCCAGAGTGTGTAGGAGACTTGCCCAGGTTTCCTTTCCTGGGAGTTGGTTCAGAGCTGAGGCTGGACCCAGGCCTCTGGACTCTCATTCCAGTGCGTTGTCCATGATGTCTCAGAGTTTTCAGTTCAGGTTACTATAGGTAGGAACTGATGGAATAGAGGCTGCAGTGGGGGCCCCCAATTTCAGTCCTGCCTGTGGGGATCCCAGCTTGTGGGGCAGAAGCCACCATGTTTCCTCCAGGTCCCCACATCCTGGCATTGTCTCGGCAGGCTCTGCCTGGAGGGGGCAAGGTTCATCACAGAGCACTGTGGGTGTGCTCACCATCTTTTGACTGAAAAACCTTCTTCCTGTGTCTCTGACGATGCACGTGAGGAG